CACGAAAATCTCGCAAGAATGTTGTGTAATGAGCAAAAGCTTGAACTTGACGGGACAAATCCGCGTCTTGTCGTGACATCGTAACGCTGTTGATGACAATGAGATCTTCCTCTGCAACATGTCACGGAAATACGCCATGGTGGCCCATTTGCCTAAGTTTGCGACTTGCTGTTTGAAGCGCGTGCGGTAGCGCGGCGTCCGAACGACCGATAATCGTAAAAACAAGCTCGAATGGGCTATGCTTTTCTACTGCAGCTCAGTCTACCCATTCACTTGTTTCTAATACTCCGTTTACTCCCCTAGCTTTCGACTCGATTGTCTGTTGAACTCACCGTTGAATCTCTGCAGTCGAATGGTGTCGAAGTATCGGAGAATGTTTCCAACGATGATGTCTGTCCGATAACGGAAACGCCGAGTGTCTTTCCTGGCCATGACATAAACCCGATCGGTACCACTCGCCTCTAACACAATTCCTGAAATGAGATTGCTTTGTTATCAGAGGAAGGAGACACCATTTGTTTGGTCTCCGTCTAAGGGTCACGTGCGAAACGGAGACTAAACGACTTCTTTGCTCACCACCCCCTTTAAATAATTTAAACAAGCTTGAAGAATAATGTTGAATTTCGGTTAAACATCGTAATCAAGATAATATTAAAACAGATTAGTTTGATTCAAGATGTTCATATTGAACATAATGGTTTTATTGAGTCTGAACTCCGCCCAAACGTAACCTTTTTGCCGAAAACCTGCCTATTCTACTGAATAAAGGACCACTAGGCCCTCGTTCCTCATTACTGCAATTGTAACTGTTGTAACTCATGTTCTCATCCTGAGCTCATTTAAAAACATACTGCGTACTGAAGACAGTCGCGCCAAAAACATTGCCGTGACATACACTATTTCGAATGCGCAAAATTTGTTCTCAGGTATCACAAAGAACTCTGAGCAAGACGTAGTTTCTTACCGGTGATGACGGTGGCATTAGTTGGTTGGAACGAGCTCTGCCTGTGAAATGTACCGTCCAAGTAAGGCCGAAATCAACCTAAAAACCAGGAATTCGTGCACAGTTACAGCCATCGAAGGAAAAACACAACAATGTGCAGATTCAGACCGGCCGCCGCGCCACCGCACGTGTCCGGGATTGGACAGAAACAACACATATAGGTTTAAATTATATAAAGGTTATTTCCGATGTGGTATGTAAGCAATCAATCACCTTTCTATTGGGATATCGCTCCATTCGGACTTGCACGCGAACTTCTGGCGATCGAACAGTTTTCGGGACATACAGGAAGTTGTACACACCAGGCTCGTTGAAGATGAACTTGTCGTTGTCGATTGTGTTGAAGACACCAGCACCGGACACTTGCCCTGTTTAAGAGCATTTTGATCCAAATTCTCAGGGAATATTAAAGAATGAGACGTACCGGTTGCAGGTGGCTGGTACTCCTGGCAGGCCGACGACGGCCGCCTCCAGTAGAACATTTGGCATCGGAAGTCGGCGAATTTGCAGCACAAAAAGTATGGCATATAGTCGTTATGGAACACTGATAGACCAGGTACCTAAATATGTAGGAGAGTTGGGTCGAAAAGCAAATAAGTCCTGGAGGAAGCCATTTCGGGATAAGCCGTGAACTGTGCCGTTGCAATATTTATCAGGCAATTGTATGCCGTAGTCTTGGCACCTAATGGTAAGTTCCGGCCATTTCTGTTACACAGTCCTTTCTGACAAGAACGCAATCACTCAGGTGGCTCAATTTAACACCACGCTCACCGAATCCTTTTCATAGAACCTCTAATGAACCCCTCTAATCAATATAGGGAAATGCAGTAATGCAAGAGAAATCCACTCTGCTCGAAAAGTTTCAGCTTCCACTCAAACTGCCGCATATATTGGTCGTTGTAAGAACTCGTACGCTCTGAGCGGATACCCAGGATTGTAGAAGTACTCCTTTTGTGTCTTGATAACTGGCTGATAAGGTGTCTGCATAAGAAATCCGGCTTCATCATAACAGCATACTTGACCGTAATGCGTCATAAAACGTCTGCAATCATATCATATCAGTTGATCGGTCATAAAATAATCACCGGCACGGGCCATAAGATGCATCTCCAAAGACGTTCAGCGACCATAGGGAATCTTGGAAAGTTTCAAACAATTTCAATCTAATTAACAGCCTTCGAGTGGCCTTCATCACTGAAGTGAAAGGGTTCTAGAAGAACCGCTGAAAAACGTCCCTCGAATACTCACAAGAGTGCTGAGCTATGGGCATAGATGCTTCTTTCACCCTGGGAGGAACTTCCCACACGAAACTCATCGGTGGAAAGACTGAGAGATGGGATGGAAGGGTTGCAAGGGTTCTGTCAGCCTAGGAGGTGAGTGTGTAGAAGGAAAGCACACGATCTATTGTGTATGGGAAACTAACTTGTTAGGCAGGTTGAAGAAAGCGAGATTCGTAACTAGTGCGTGTGTTAGAGTTTCCCAGAAAGCATAACAAACGCTGAATTGGCGCTAAGCCTGCTACGTGTTGATCAGATGTCCGGAGACCGGATGGCAAATGGACATGCACACTGCAAGATGGGAAGAATGGTGTAAACCCATCGCACTTGATGGCATAACGAAAATCGTTCTATTTCTGTCTGCCGTTCCTTCTCTCTACGGCCGTTGTTTAATGGGAACTTTTTGTGGTAATAAACTCATTCGATTATCTAGTTGGATTGTCCTCTTGACACAACTTCTTCTTCCGGAGTTCGGCTGTGCGTGCTCTCGCTATTAGCCTCAACCTGACATCGTCATCCTCATGATATCTTTTGCTACCCAAACAAACTATCACGTAGAGAGAAAGGAAGGAAAACGTACGAGGTGTCCATATTGTCGAAGGTGTTTCCTTTGCCAGCGTATGAACGTAGATGTTTTGTGCGGACATGTAGCAATTCTTCGAACCGATCACTGTCGTGCACGTGATATCACGGAAAGTCTGCAATGGCAGGTAAAATGAGCTTGTGTGCTCAGGGCTTTGACTTCTGGGACAATCCCTTGCTGCTGACTGGTCAAAAAGTACCTGCGAGCAACGTGGATGAGGCATAAAGCGTCCGAGATCCAGCCGGGCTTGGGTCTCAATGCATGGACAGCTCGAGTTCGTCTCCGTGTCTCGGATGAAATTGAACAGAGCTCCATCCTCGTCGTACCTGAGTGAAGTATTGCAGATCAAGTGACCCTCCACACCTAACTACGTCATCTCTTTGAGATGTTCTGTCGTCACACATCGAAAGAAATTCAATCAGAGTACTGATCTATGAAGAGTCAATAATGGTTCTTACCAGTCATGGCACATTTCCTTCGATTTCTTTGAGACGAACTCGGTCCGCTCATCCCGCTCTTGCTGCGAGTAGGTGGTCTGGCCGAAGCGATTATCTTCTGGAGCCCAGAGCCAATGCAGCGGAATCGGCGCGGTCACCAATCTACAACAAGGAATTAGGAAATTATTTTTACATTATTGGAAGAATAGTATCCATCTGCAAGTTCTCGCTTCAAAAAATCGGTACCGCAGTCAAAACCATGGATGTCAGCCCCATGACGTGCAGGTCCTAGTAATGGCTTCCACTCAAGCGCGGACTGCCTTATTTACGTACTGTGGTGAAAACCAATTTGGGTGCTATATATGATTTGGCATAATCTAAAGGCATTCTACTATTCACAGTCTGAAGAACCTCCAAAGAAGGTAGACTTTTCTTAAGAATAGAGGTTCGCGACAGTTCCTGCCTCAAAGTAGCCTGGCAAGTGCTGTAGGGGCACAAGCTGCTTAAGTGCTCCACCCGATTCCAGTGACTCCGCCTTGATATTGCTGTCATAAATTATGTCTGCTTCTCCTTCGTCCCCATGCTGCCTCGTCTTCTTGACGTCTGCTCCCTTCTGCCGATGGTTAGTGCCTCTTTGCCGTCGAGAACGACGCCATGGTTTGGGGTTCTATCGTGGGAATTTTTTCAGTGGCAGACGAGTAATTATTGAAATACGCATTTTCCAACCCTCCTTTCTACACTCTGTAATTTAGAATATGTTTTTTAAGATGAACATTGTTCGAATTCCCCTTGAACTCACCCAGACAGCAATTCTGTTCCGTTCTGGTCGTTTGGTCGTATGGGGGCCAGTTTCAGATACCCGACCCGGTACGTGTACAGAGTGTTCCAGCGCTCCCAATCATCCATATACCATTGTTGAACCTGAGAAGAATAACTCGGAATATAAGGAAATATGCAGGGTAAGTTTGAGGGTCTCCCTTTACCTGATTGAGATTAATGACCTCCTCCTGGGGCTTCCACCGATACTCGTAGCTGTTACGATTCGTGTACGTCGCCAGTCGTGCCAAAGTGCGATGTTCGGGACGGAATTTTTTGATCTGCATTATCAGTGATTGATTATTCAAACGCAGGGATTGATCAATTGAAGTGATACCTCATCGTCCTTGTACTCTCTGTATCCGATCACGTACAGACCGAGTTGGACCCCGTAAAGAGCATCGTCCGAGATCCTCATGCCGACTTGATTCAAATTGTTGAACAAATCGGGATTGGTGAAGTTTCGCGGATACCATGTGATCGGCTCAACATAAAGATGGGCCTTTTCGTGAATCGAATGAATGTGAAGTGAATGACTAACTGTGGGCAGGGCTCTAGACGGAAACGCGACCATCAATCATACTTCTGATAAGGAAGATGTAATAATCCAGGTTTTCATCGAACTCAAACAACTACTGTGTATACATTGAATAGCAGCTCTTAAAATCAAGTGTTCCCTGCTTGAAAGTTCCTTAGGACTTAATGTTTTGCAATGGTCCTCAAAAGTTGAAATAGAAGAGTAGCTCTTACGAGTAGAAACTCCATGCTCATCTGAGGTATGTGTTCCACAAAAACAGTGCCTTCGGTCGCTCACGCCAATCAAGCGACCCGGCGCGGAGATCTTTCGGGCGTCTTTGCACGATCTTGACCCAGCGCCGGCAGAGGGGATTGCGCAATGGCAGTCACCATTGGCTGCCATTGTCCCAGGGACATCCATCTTGTTCTTTCAGTTCTTTCTCTATATCTTCTGCTGTTTACACTGAAACTTTTCCGTAGAGATTATATTATCCCAGCTACATGATTATTATGCCCGCTCTAGCATAAGCATCCATACAAAAAAATCAAAGAACGGAAGCCTTCCATTTCATGCTCTCCGTCGTGAAAAGCTAGAGTGTACGAATTGAGGGCAATGGCTGATTCAGCTTAGAATGCCAAAGGGAAGGGTGAGAGCCTCAAAGCGCAGACAAGAGAAGCACATTAGCGCAGCATAAAGGACCGAGTACAAATAGCCCGTAGACGGAGAGTGACCAATGCAGAGGTTTACGTGAGAATACGGATCACGGACCTAAAGGCAGCGATTACGATAAAGAGGGAGCACATCGGGAAGCATATGCAGAACACGAATCAGTTACTTGGCTGCTAGGGAAGCGAGGTGTAGCGCGCTTTGACCGAAAGATGCGCTGGTTGCTGAGCAGGAGGTTTTTTCGCCACACGGGCGTACAATTGAGCACCACCACGTCTCCTCTAGACCCTTCTTGTACTATCATAATCGCTGCCTTTGAGCATAGACAATAAATACCATTCTAAAGTACTTTTACAAGTACCTCAGACTGTAACGTGCAGTTGAGTTACAGGACTCGTGCATGGCCTTATCTCCCATTGAATCGGCATTTGATTCCACCATTATGGTGAGAACAGAAAAATGAAAAAATTGCGGTTGTTTTCACAAACAACCCAAAGAAATAAAAAAATATTACTCGTTCATATTCCCTTAGAAGTCAAAAATGTTGGCGGCGGGAACACCTACTGTTGGCCTTTGGAAGGACGTCATAAGGAACATTTTTACCTCCTCATCGATGGCAAGAAATTTACACTCCTATTGTACTCTGATTTGCCGCGCTAAAAGCTACTCAGCGAATTAAGAAGATCTAATTCTTCGTACAATCAAATGGGATCTTCAGCATTTCCCGCCACCTCCCTGATGTTACGGCAACTTTTGCTTTCCTGCTGGCTCGTCTGCACCTTATTTGGTTGGTTAAAAAAAACCTACAGTGGTATGAATTAATGAATTGCGCCATATAAACACTTTTCTACTAAAACGATTGCTCAGCTCGTGTGTTCCAGTATCGATTATTTACTTACATAATTTGGCATCGGGTTCTTGTACCACTCGTAAATGCTTCCTATATCCAATCTCTGAGGGTCCAATGTAGGCGGCACTGGAAATACAATGTTGAATGAGATAAGAAAAATAAGAGAGGATTTGGTGGAAATCTCACCGAAATAGATGTATCCGACAAACGCCTTCTCGTCGTTGGCACCTTTCGATTGCGGTTGGAAGTAGACGGTCTTCGTGCCCCAGTCGTAGATTTTCGGCAGATTACAACGGGCGATGGCGGCGTTGAGCACATAGCAAGAGGCAACCTGAAGTTAGCGTTGAAGGCTTCAAATTTGGAAAATTTTGCGCTCGATGGAAATCGCAATTACGTCATTGTGTCAAAACCGTTGCACGGCAGCACACAAGGCATGGCCTTAGCGCCGCTGCCTCGCACTTTTGAGTCGCAGTAGGCGGTGCTTCCTGCCCTTGGGGACCCTGTTCCTCACTCTACGAGCGACTTGCTCTGGGACCTAATTCCGACTCATGGCTTCAAAGTTAATAGACTATGTAGTGTGGCCAATGCCTCCAAAGACTGAGCAAACTGAAGAATCGAAGTGTGCTCATGGTTACGTTCAGAACAACCGTAACAAAAGTACCTCTCTCTCCTCTATCATAAGAATATACGTCTGACTTCGATCCAGGCACAACGCGATATCACGGGTCAACGAATGTATCTCGACCGCAGCAATATAGTTTACGCATGTAGATCGGATAGATCTCATCGAGGTACTGAATACAATTACGTTTATACAATAATTCTAAAAGGCATTAGCCGAAAGATGCTCTGTGTGTGGTAGATTGCGCGGCCGTAGACTGCAAATAAGAAGTGGAATCACTTAAAATTTCTGCTTTCAATGGCGGCAATTGCTACCAGAACTCACATGTTCCTCCCGTTTTGTTGCTGCAACCAGCAGGTCGAACGACGTCGTCCACACGGAACATGTAGCGACCGCGGACAACATGGGGAACACCCGATCGCTGAGCCAACACCTGAAACACAGTAAAATTTCAATCTCTAGCACCTTTTGACAACCGATCTGAGTGGGTCAAGAACAAGTTACATCGAGTCGTCAGGTTTCAGTGCAAGGTACAAGTTCCAAAATCAAGTCTTGCGAGCAGGGTCGGTCCTATCGATGGTACTTTCGCAAAATGTTTACGACCCTCCAAGTGATTTCGATAGACCCCTTTTCCATACTTCACCATTCTCCATTTTCACAAACCGCCTACTTTATCCTCCAAAATTGCACGTCGAGGGGGGGGAGGGGGGGGAGGGGGGGAAGGGGGGTGTATACCGCCCGCTGAAACGGCAAATTTTTATCCTGCGCGCCCTCCACTCACCTAGCCTACTACCCACGAAATCTTAGTTTCACCTCAATCCCACACGTGATTTCGAGCGACTAAAGTGGGTACGACCCCCCCTCCTACAAACTCAACCAGGTACGACCCCCCGTTGGTACTTGTACCAACGTAGGGTTGACCCTGCTTGCGAATCGAGCGATTCGCTAGCGTCTGCGGTCGCGTCGCGGCCAGTGAATCACTCAATTGGCTGGTACCGCAACGCGACCGCGGACGCTAGCGAATCGCTATTCGCAAAGTCTGACATCGGCCTCAAGTGTTCAATGATGATAATAGCTGCTCACAGCTCGGATGCGCGCGGCTGCGAAGCGATCCACCTTTCAGGGTTATCGACAAAAGAATTTATGGTGCGCAAAGACCGTGAAATTTGTACGTATTATTATATATTGGTGACAGAAGAGACAAGTACCTTAGATGGAATGAAACAATGGAGTGGGTGGTCATAACTCCTTACGCCACAAAGGATAGATGAGGACAGTGGGCAGTCCATATGAGGAGATGGAACAAAAAACGGAATAAATGAATTAATTCGCGCAAGGCTCCTACCAGCGGTTGTAGGGGAGTAAAAGCAGATGCAGATGGGTTTCTATGCAGATATGAAAAATATTCAATACATTTCTCATCTACCAAAAGCTATGGCTTGTCGAGCTTCTTCACAGTCATCAGAATTCACCCGTCCGTTATTGCGAACGTGCCCAAGACCCACACCCGCCATGTCGCGTGCCAAAAATTTCTGCTGTCGTTCATAAAGAAGGCTATCACAGAACTCAGTGGTCATATACAACAAGTTGTTGATCTTGCGGGTGGAAACACCTTGACACTTTTTAGTGAAGTTTAATTAACTTAGCGTCGAAATGTTGTGAAGGCATATGACTCTTCCTCGCTCCCCCTCGCCCGCCCCTTTCCTAGCAGCAGTTCTGTGCTACACAAAAACTCTAGAAACTTCAGTCATGTCAGCCGTCACCGCCATCCAAGTTCGCGATCCAGGTCCATTCCCCCATTCTACTCCTTATTCCTCGTGAACATGCTAGTTCTCCGTATACAAAACCAGGAGCAAGCAAGCGCAGCAAGAAGTGGCTTGCCGTGACAAAAAAAACCACCGAATTGGTTTCCGAAATAACGAGACGTCTAGGACATATAGGATATCGTTTGGAAAAGCCATAAAGAGGCAATCCCGAAGACATCCGATGTGGTGACATCCTTAACCAGAAAACTGTAGTTTCTGAGGAAAAATTTGTTACCTTGGGTGTGTTCTTTGTAGGCCTGTGTAGGATCCACCTCCACAACACCGGTGTGGTTTCCGCCGTTGAACAGTGCCTAAACCACATGGCTTAGGTTAACTAGAAGCTGTACAAAACAACTGTCGTCAACTTACTCGACAGCGTCCACTCCTCGAATTTGCTCGGAAGTCTTGAGCATCGAAAACCCAGCCGATCATAGTTGAGGAATCACGTACGATAGCCGTCCTGGCTGATCGGTTAGCCAAATAGCCTGAAAGTAGTTCTCGCTTTGGAACTTATGGGAGTCGCCATTCTGAATGTGGTGCAGGCCCGAATGCTGTTTATTTGTTTATTTTATGCTAATTGTTCATAGCGATGTATCGATTTTGGATCCAGTAAAAATTTTA